GAGGTTGAGTGACTTACCAAAGATGTAGGACACTGTAGAAAAGGTTCCCTTATGTCCTGGATCTCTGTTGACCTTGAGGGGCCAGGGCCAAAATATTGGCTGTCCTCATAGCCCAGTTACCTTTCTAGTTTTGGTCTCCAAACTTTAGTTGTTGAACACCCAGAAGATAAGGTCAATAGCATTAGCATTGTAATGAGTAATGAATTTAACTATTATAATTTTACCTGAATAACAAGCATTTTGAAATTTAAAATATAGAGAACTGTTATTGTTATCAGTCATAGTTGTTTTAGTAGTTGAATTCCTATAGAATATTAACAGAAAAAGAGCCACAAATAATATTTTAACATGACAATTATGATGACTTTACCTTTGTAACACATTTAAATGTCCATCTTGATATAAAATAGCCATTGTTAAACATACTCCTTTTTTTAAAAACACCAAAAGTTTTTATCTAAATTATTATCTTTTGATAGGATACCATCTAAAGAAAATATCTCAGCCCATAAATGTATCTGTTGTCATAAATAGCTGGAGTATATGAAAAAGGCAAATACCTGAATCAAAAAGAGATTATCATCATAAACAAATATTAGAAAACCTGTACAGTCAGCAAGTATAAATACATTTAGTACACCAGAAAAAATAAAACCTTGTTATTGTTGTTTTTACAGGATATTTAGTCCTTTGAAAATGACCAGTGTAAGCATACCTTAATAACATATTTAGAATTTATCCCTTTGATGACAACTGATGTAAACATAGTATAATAATATATTTAAGTAATATTTATTGATGTAAGTCTTTTATAAGGCTATGAAAACTATCAGGTCAGTCTGTTGTAAGACGAAAACTGTTGTGGTCCCCCTAGTGAACAAAGACTGGAAAATATTTCCATGCAGCTGCTCCTCTGTTCACCAAGGGGAGCATGCCTTGAACTTAATAGCCTTTATCTATAAACAAAATAGCTGTAAGACTGGACAAAAAACAAAGATCCAAGACAATTTGTAAAACTGGAGCGCACTCAAATATATTTGGCCCAATGGAATTATAATCTCTTTATAATTTTAGGTTTATAATTATAAATAAGAGTATTCAAAACTTTTTGTAAGCCAATTAACAGAGATCTCTTATAGAATTAGAATCAGAAGGAATGAAAACTCTATTCCTGTAAACCTTTTATAACAAACTTGAAACCAACATAAGTAAACATACATATTTCCTTTATAAACCACTTCCACACACCTTCCTGACATACCTAGGCCTTTTGGTCTTGTCCTGCTAACAAGACAAACATATAAAATCCTTTTATATCAAAAATATATCTTTCACTTATAGCTTTTAAATATTTTACCTCTGACTCACTATAAACATTTTATACTTTTGTCAGTCATTATCTCATCCCTAGTGGTCTTTGTTAAGTAAAGTTCCAATTCCTGTTTGATGGTTAGACACAGGTGGTTTCTGTCACTGATTATAGCCCTAAACATATGAGAGTTAAGGCACATAGATCACAAGTTTGTTCAAGGATTCCCACTTTGTTCTTCAGAGCTAGGATGTTATCTATAGTGGAGCTACTGATCAAAGGAGCTATACAACCTTCACTTTAAACAGCAGAAGCAATGGGCTAAGGCAAGCTTTCAAAGGGATACACTACCTAGTTTGTTTCCACAACTACTTTAATAGTTAATCTACTAAACTATAAAACTTTTTCCTATCAACGGGTTACAAAGTGGGGGAGGTACAAGCAGTGAGTGATCGGCTCAGGCTAGGAGTACTTGAGAAGGAGAACAGGTTTGACAGAGGGAGGGTCAAGAGCGTAGGTAGAAAAAGGCTTGTATGTAGGGGATTTCTGACCATTTGTCATTGCACTGACAGAAGTTGTGTAAATCACACGGTATGTTAAAACTGAAAGTGCCATTTTTGGGCCATTATCTAATTTATACTGAAGCCAAACCTGATTACAATAGAAAACAAGTCTTTTTGGCTTAAAGTCTGGTCCCAACAATCCGAGGGGTTTTGAGTTGTGCCGGGAGGCAGCTCAGAGGCGTCGAGGGGTGGGGTTTGGATTGTTGGGCCCCCTTGTTAGAGCAGGTGAGGAGGAGGCAGCTCCCTGGGAGGACAGAGGGGAGAAGCGTCCTTATCTCCTTTGAAAATCTCTGAGTGGGTCTCCCAGATGGAGAGAGCAAGAGGAGCTGGGCTGATGGGACATTGCCCAGGGGCACAGTTCTGGGCCCAGCAGCTGTGGAGGTTTCTCTGACCAAGCGCTTGGATTTCTGAGAAGTCCCCGGAGGGAGAGAGAACAAAACAGAGAACCCAATGAGAGGGAGGCTGAACTCCCTACTCACCCAGACATTGGTGACCGGTGTGGAAGTGTAGTGTCAGCAATGGCAAAGGTAGAAAGCCCTGGAGGGTCCTGGCATGGCAGATATGGTCTGATGGAGATACCCAAAAGGCTGATCAACCCTGTCCTGCAGGGGATCGACCATTAATGGACCATCTACCATCCAAGTCATGGCACCAGAAATGTCAGGTAAAAGGGCCGAAAACCAAGACCAGACCAGGCCACAACAAGCCTTTATTAGGGGAATAGATCTGCCAGCCTGTCTCTGAACAAAGGCAAGACAAAAGCAATATGGCCGGGGCAGGAAGTCTTTTATAGAGACTGGGGTGGGGTTTGGAGGGGTTGAGTGAGGTTGTGACTAGGGAGTGGAGGAGCCAGTGATGTCACTAGGTGGTAGGAGGTGAGCGAGTATTTCGTTACTCTCTAGGCAGGAACGGGGCATGCTGGGAAGAAGGGTTTGTTCTTTGGTGGGAGCAACTATCTTGGCATGATGTCACACAGAGGAGGGGGCAAGGCACTACAGGAAGAGGGCAGCTACTATACATAATAGCTGCTGTGGTAGTGGGAGACCTATCAGGAAGCAGAAAAGCATGTTTAAAAAAAAAACAACAAAAACAAAAACATACCTTAAGCTATTTTGAAAGTGGACCCTGTAACAAGTCCTCTTTCTTCTCCTCCTGATCAAGATTACCTCACACTCTGCTCCCTGAAATCCATAATCCTACTTCACTTGTATAAATAACTTTTGTAGATTCATCTGCACAAAACCGTATGCAGAAAAATCCTTTTAGGACAGTGAAGTGTATTATGAAAAAGCAACCGATAAATCAAACCTATTTGAACTGGAGACTGTGCCAGTTTTGATAGTTCTTATCAAAACTCCCACTAGCTTTACCTTTTACAAGGCCTAACTCCAGTCAAAACTCAGCCACCCCAATTGATCTCTGACAAATGATAAGGAAAATTACATTATCAAAGGTATCTCATACTTTCAAATCTGACCTAGGTATTGATCTGCCCCCAAAAGGAAAAAATAGCTCTGAATTGTTGCTATAGAAGAAACTTGGCTTTCCTTTTGTTTTGTTTCCTTTTCCAGTGCTGGGGATTAAACCTAAGGGCATCTACCACTGAGCTATATCTCCAGATTTTTTTTTTAGTTAGGGTCTCTCTAAATTGCTTAGTCTGACCTCGACTTTGTGATCCTCCTACCTCCTAACTACCTAGGATTACAGGTATGGAAACCTATGTATCTTACATTTTAAATGCAATTTTCCCAAATTTAACTGCAAAATTTTTGTTAATTTAGCTTTGCTTTCTCAAAAAAAAAAAGTATTCAGACTGATGACTCTAGATTTGTTCCTTACAATCAAAAGTTCCACTTCTTCCCAAACATTTCACAAAGCCTGACCTACATTAAGTTAATAACTGACATCTGAAACCTTCCACGCCCTTCATTTCTAAACACCTACAGCTGTAAAGAGGGGTTGAGGGTGTCAGAAAGGGTGGAGATCTATAGTCCGGGCCTCTTGCCACAAATTAGGAATTCCAAAGGAATAATTTATTTTTAAATGATCTGCAGACAATTTTCCATCAATTCTCCCCCTTCACCAACTCTTTTGTAACCAACCACTGCCAGAAAATTCTACCTTTAGCCTCTTAAGCATTAGCCCTCAAACTCTTCCTACCACCTATGCTGCTCCCACTTCAAGATCAGCCTCTGTAACAACCTTTGCGAAGACATTCTCCCTACCTCATCATCTTTCCTCAAAACCCTCTGATTACTTCCCATCTCAATTAGTGTAAAAGTCCAAGTCCACAGAATGGCCGACTTCTGCATCATGTAGTCAGCTCATCTCCTTAGCTCTCCAGCCTTTTCTTTCTATGATCTCCCTCCTTTCCTATTTGCACCTTGTTCACACCTTTCTCTGCTGGAATGTTCCCTCCCTTCCTGGTGGAATTTCCTCAAACATCACCTCCCAGTATCTCCTCCCTATTCAAAACTTCCAACTGTTAACTCCTAAAAATACCCTCTAACTTACTGCATTAGCTATTATTCCACTAACTGCACGATTAATTCCATGATTGCAGGTATTCATCTGGTCCATGCTGTCTCTCCAAGGTGCAGAACAGAGCAGTGCAAGTTAGCCAATAGGAGCTCAATAAACATTTTATAATTAAGAGAGTCAATCACTTGAAAAAGGTCTGCCCCTGTTCTCATCCAAGTTTTAAATCAAGACAAGTTGCCCCTGTCTCTAACACACCAGATGAGCACTGCACAACAAATACAGGTGTTAAGAGTACAGAACTGAAAGCTCAGGGATTTATCAGCAGGTCAAAGAATGTGCTAAAAGTTCAAAAAGCTCCGGCTGCTCCACCGTGCAGCTCACCGCGGGCCCTTCCTGGAGCTTCTCCCCTACATCCTGGGACAGGACCAGTAGCCCCACTGTTCCCAGACCTGAGAAGTTATTTAAGCAACTTCCGGCCTCTTCACGTCGGGAAAAAGATATAGGAGACAAAATAGAAAGGCCTGTCCTTCAGCCTCAGAGCCTCTCCTTTGCCTAGGGTGCCGCCCTTCACAGCTGCCCGGGTCTGAACCGTCCTAACTGCTGACCTCTTTCCCACACCACCAGGCCGCCGAACCTCCGATCCCTACCTCCTCCCGGCTTCCCCTGCGGCTCCTCCGAGCGCATGCGTACTAAGGCTCTCCCGGGTTCTGACTCGGCTAGCGACGCTGCTGGAGGAGGGAACGCCCCCAAAGTAGCGCTGACTTCTGATTGGGTGCTGCCGCTCGCCCGAGTGGGGTTGGAAAGCTGGGGCTGTGCATTTAAAGGAGCTTGCCAGTGAGCCCCTGCGCGCTCGCTTCCTGTTCCTCGCTTCCTACGGACTCTGCAGAATCCTGGTAATCCCGCCGGCATGTCTCAGGTACAGCGCGTGCCTAGCCAAGCAGTGAGGGTGCAGCGAAGAGAGAGGCCCAGACTGTCCCTTTGATGCCCTGCAGTTGCTACTGGACCCATGCCCAGCCCTGATGCTTTGCAGCGCCTTGTGAGCGGAACTTTCCGTTGGAGGTTTTCACAATCTGCTGCCCACGCTGCAACTGCTAAAAAGTTGCCCGTGGGGTGGGCTTCACGGTGAGGCAGGCATAGGGGTAGGAAGCAAGGGTCCTGGATACAAAGGGGGGGGGGAGATTGGAGGTTGCAAGTGTTGGAGGAGCAAGGACAGAGTGTCACATCCGGAAGGAAGCTGCCGGACTATGGAGTCGGTGGCTCGGCAAAATAGGAACACAGGAACCCTTAGCTGGGAGTTTGAAGGTCTTGGAAAGTAGGAGCCAAGTGTCTGGAATGCTGAGAGAGGAGAATTGTGGTCTGGAGGAGGTGACCCAGAGGCCTTTATTTGTGCCCTCCACTGTAGACCCGAGTCTGGGCCGAGCTATAGGGAGCGACCTCTGGCTCCTCCCACCTGCCTCTCCCCAATCTGGGCACTGGGACAGAGGTCAGCGCTGAACTCCCGGGCCCTAGGGGCAAAGAGACGACCTGCAGCCAACACCCCTGTATTTGTGCCCTGACCCCTTATCAGCTGTTTCGAACATGTTGTGCACCCCCTGCCCGTAGGTCAGCTTTACTGGTGCCCCAGCCATTCCCTTGTCTGGTCCGATGGTGGCAGACATGGCCATACTGCTTTTCCATGGGGTGTACATTCCAAGCTTTGGCCTGCCTCCTTCACACTATTTCTGGCTGCTGTAGTGGGAGAGCCAGATAGTAGTTGGGGATTGAATGGGTGAACTGATGTGCTTTTCCCTCCTTGTGTTACTGAATATAGCTGCCCTGTGGAGGAAGGAGAGATGCTTGAGGGAGCTGCTTCTCCTGGCCTGCATGGCAAGAGAAGGGCTACTTTTCCATCCTCTCCTCTCCCTGGGCACTGTTTAGGCAAAGCCAGGACTCCTGCCCTCTCCCACTTAGAAATGGCCTTCATATCTCTTCCCCCTTCCTACTTAGGCTGAGTTTGAGAAAGCTGCTGAGGAGGTTAAGCACCTCAAGACCCAGCCAGCGGACCAAGAGATGTTGTTCATTTACAGCCACTACAAACAAGCCACTGTGGGCGACATAAATACAGGTATGCTATACTTCTCATCAAAGCAGGCTCTGGCCTTTTGGCTCAGCAGCCTTGATTGGAAGCCTGTGGGAACTGCACTCTCAGGCCGCCTGAGGCCCTACTCTTCAGGCAGGACATGGTCACAGTCCATGGGATTCCTGGGTTTTAAGCTTAGGAGAGTTTCTCCAAAACCCATCTTCTTAGATTCTCAATGACTCAAGTAGTAGAATTCCGATACTATTGTATTATTAACAACAGCTCTCTTTGCTGGAGAAGAAGTTGAGGCCCTAGTAGACCTACTATAGGCTCTCAGCTCGATAGAAGCTTTCCTGAGTGGCATTGCTTCCACCCTAGATGGGTGGTTTCACACTTGGAGCCATTGGCAGCCTTGCCAAGCCTAACAGAGGAGCAGACACCTGGTGTCCTGTAGCATGTCATAGGTGTTTTTGCTGGTCAGAGTCTGTACCTTCCTGATGACTATTAGTTCTCTATCCAAAAATTTTGGTACGGGTTTTGAAATATGCTTTGGTCTACCATATTCTGTAATATTGTCTTTCCTACCTTGATTTTCCTTCTGTTCCTAAGTCCTTAAGATGTGGTAGTATACAGAGGCAACAGCACAACATGTTCCCTGCAAGGATGCAAAAGTTGGTAATCATGGCAGATTAGAAGGAAGTGCCTCCCATCTCTGTTCAGGAGGGGTAAGCAAGGACCCCAGTTTCACCAGAGCTGGGGTAGTTGGTGAAGCAGATAGGCTGGCTGCTATCTAGCTATAGCTGGAGACACTACCCAGAGCTAAGGATCGTGGACAATGCCAAATCAAACACTGTGCTTCTCATCAAGGGCTTAGTTAAGAAATAGCTTGTGGCAAAAATGAGTTTTACAGTGGGTTGATAAACTATCCTTTCAGCAGGAGAAAGACGGGTGGCCAGAAGGGCTGAAATGCCTTTCTGTCAAATAGTATCTTCGCAGAATCAGGAGGATTTGCTCTCATATGAGTGTAGGTAAGCCTGACGTCGCATCTTATTACCACCTTATCAAGGAAGTATTGGCTCTCTGTAGGGCTTTATTGTTTAGTACAGTACAGTAGCCACTACCACCTGTGGCTATTTGCATTTTAACAGAAAAATTTAATCTCTATAGCCATAGGAGCCATATTTCAGGGACTCCATGATAAATGGGTTCTGAATTAGATGTTCCAAATGTCATCCCCACGGTGGCAGAAAAGGCTGGCTGATCCTACAGTGCTAGGATCCTGATGGTGACTGCAGGTACAGTATCTTTCAGATATCCCACAGAATGCACTTGGGGGTGCTTGATGTTTTTCCAGACACAGTGCCCCAGGCTATGGATACTACAGCTGCTGCTCCCCTTGGCAGTAAAGTTGGTCAGCAGGGTTGGGACAGAATGTTTCCCAGCTGTAGATGATTACAAGACTGGAATCATAAAATCAGGGTAGAACTTTAAAAAGCCTTGCCCTCTGTTTTAAAAAAAAAAACCCTCCCACTAATGGGAGAAATAGACTAACAATGTAGGAGAAAAAATGGGGCTAGGATATGGACAAGCAATTCACAGGCAAGGAGACCCAAAAGACAGATACGAATGCATTAGGAAGAGAAAGTGGGAGGCAGAGAATAGAGGGAAGGAAGCTTGATAGTACAATGGTGCCTCCATTCACAAACTTAATTCTTTCCATGATTCTGGTTGCAAACCAAATTGGATGAGAACTGAATCAAATTCAGTGGTTAGGTTTAATGTTGACCTTATGGGGGATTCGGTAGTCATCCAGTTCCGTTTGTGACCAGAATCATGGAAAGATTTAAGTTCGTGAATTGAGATACCACAGTATTACCCTTTGCCTTTGTAGCTTTTGAAGTTTGAGTCATGTGAATGGATTTTTTTAAAGAATTTATTGTACAGTTATTAAAAGGAGAAATTTTGGAGGTATTTAACTTACAATTCAAAAATTGTCTTGTAATGAGAACAGTCCTCCTATTTTCTAGATTTTAAGTTTGGATTTCTTTACATCTAGGTTTCTTAAGGCAGAACCTCCTGTGTAAGACCTGTTTAACTATGTGACAGGGCCTAGAAAAAAATCTATGCAATAAAAGATGCCTTTCATGGAAAGAAAGTTCACAACAAAGCAAATCTAATGTCTTTTCTTTCCTTACTTAAGAGCGGCCTGGAATGTTGGACCTCAAAGGGAAAGCTAAGTGGGATGCCTGGAACCAACTGAAAGGTAACTGTCCCAGTCGGTCCCCTCCTTTGTGAAGTCCAGTGGTAAAAGACTCTTCATCATAGAATGTAGGGGGTGAGGGGAGGAAACCTCGCAGGAGGCACATGCTGGAAACCAGCCTGACTTGTGCCAGAGTGGGGAAAACCTGGGCCACCTACTTTCTTAAAGCACATCTCTGAGCAGGGCCATCATTTGAAGAGGAAAGGCTAGAGGGTCAGGCCACTGAGAAACATGCCAGGAGGTAATACTGGCATGAGCTTTGGACATGTTCAGAATAAGGGGTGGTTTCCTGTCCACACCTCCCTTTCCTCCACAAGGCCAGGCAGTGACCCCTTAGCTGGAGTGGCCCTCCCCAGTTCCCATCCAACCAGAAGGGCACATGAAAGAAGGGATTGAGGTAATGCATGGCCAGCCGCTTGTAGGCTCTGTGAATGGAGCTATTATTTGCCGAACACCAACAGCCAAGAAATATCCAAGCTCCTACTAAATCATGTGGCCCCAAGGCAGCAAGACCCAAAAGTTGGCACCAAAGCTCCTGGCAGCTTTTGTGTCCTCACTAGCTAGTTGTTGAATAAGCTCTCTGTCTACTTGCAAATGAGAAACCCATGAATTCAGAAAGGGCACAATACAGTAAACACTGCACAATCCTAGGATTTGCAGCGGGGAATGCCTGTCTGATTATCCCTTTTCACTGGGCACTTCCACACCATTCTCAGGCCCTGAGTGTTTCAGAACCAGTCCCAGAGGTCCGCTCTTCACTGGAGAATCCAGGAAACAGGGCATGACTCTCCCTGAGGTTATCTTCTTTGTCTTTTGTGCTGCAGCAAGGAGACAAAGATCTGTCTCATTCCTCTCCAATAACCAGCTGCTTTTGCTCAGAGCCTGGAACCTCTTCTCTTAGCTTCTCTCTGGGGAGAAGAAAGTGGCTGGCTGCTTTTTCACTGCCAGCTTAGCAGCTCTGGGAGATAAAAGCACAACACAGAAATACACAAAAAGCCAAAGCCATCCATGAAATCAGCAGGACCAATAAAGTTACCCCAGGGACAGTTGCCTGGCTGTCTAGAAGGCTGAGGCTCATGCTGACAGCTTCCACACACACAGGATCAGCCTTGGGCCAGGCCCACCATCTGTGATGTGCTCTATGGAGCAAAAGGTTCCTTGGGTGCTTTAAGTCTAGATCTCAGCAAGTCTCCAAGATGTAGATATACTCCCACTTTACAGCAGAGAAACTGAGTCTTGGAAAGTTAAAGTGAGGCTGACTGGAACCCTAAAGCCAGCTACTTTCCTACCATGCTACAATAATTCTGTTGATTCCTTCCAGGGACTTCCAAGGAAAGTGCCATGAAAGCTTACATCGACAAAGTAGAAGAGCTAAAGAACAAACACGGAATGTAACAGACTGGATTTGGTCACCAGCCACACGTTTAACCTAAAACTATGTAATGCCTTGTTTTTTCTAATACTGTGGGTGATGTGAAATTAGTCGGTTACTCTAGTTCCTCAGGGTGTACCAGGATGTTTCTCTAACAGTTTAAGGAGCAGGAATGGTCACTGACCTCTTCCTTCCCCCAGTAGTTTTTATCTGGAATCAATTCAAATATATTTGTTACTTGAATTCTTTGGTCATCTGGTTTCTTAAAATAATTTGCCTAACCTGTTCCCATCTCTGGCCCCCACTTCCTTTTGCTAAAGATGTCCTCTGGAAGGGCTTTGGCCTGCCTTCCTCACTACACTGCCAGGGTGTGAGGCAGGTGGTCCCACCTGTTCCCTCACCCCCCACATGTTCTCAACCTTGGTGGAGAAGAAAAATGTCTTGGAAGTGGCTTTTCCTCCTTTCCAATTCCAGCCACACTGAGGAAGAGTAGGCAGGCCAGCTTAGACTTCAGTCTGCTTGTATTTCCAGTCTGTCAAGGGTGTGGATGGCCTTGGGTTATGACAGAGGTGGGATTGACAAATGTTTGAGGTTCATCTGAGATCCAACCAGTGCACTGATCGAGAGAAAATCAGCAAGAGTGAGAACTCTGTCAGAAATAGAATGCACATCCGGCATGAGGTATTTCCAGGATTCCTGTGGGAACTTGCCCATAGGCTATAGCAGAGGTGCAACAATCAGTGAACCAAAGAATTCTCCAGTGGGGCAAAGAGGGAACAGGACCCTCATAAGGCTGCAGAGAAGAAAGGTGGAAGTTTGACTGGAGGACTTTGGTTGTTAAAAGGACAAAGGAAGAGGGCTAGAGATGTAGCTCAGTGGTAGAGTGCTTGCCTTGTGTGTACAGGGCTCTGGGGTCCAGCCCCAGCACCACACACATAAACAAAAGATCAGGGCTAGGGTGTGACCCCAGCACTCAGAGGCTGAGGCTAGCCTGGGTAATTTTGCAAGATGCTGTGTCAAAGGATGAAAGAAGAAAAATAATTAACAAGATGCTCCTGGCCGGAAATGTCCCTTCTAGCACTTCTCCAGTCCCACAATATAGGTAGTTTGCCTATTTTGCCAGGGAAGATGCTGAGGCTCCAAGAAATTCGGGAGAAGCTGTCTCAGGTTGGGCAGCTCACAGGCTTCTTTCTGCCAAAGCACATTCCCTGGTCTTAGACATAGTCCTGCCTTGCACCTAGAAGAACAGTAATGCCTGAGAATAACTTGCCCAAGGTCATTCCACTAATACATAAACTGAGAACTGACTTTCAAATGCAGGCTGGATCTGAAGCCTCAAGCTCAAGAGATGGCAACACCAGGGAGCTGCATAGTGTGGCCAGCGTATGGCATACCCTCCATAAAACAAGACTGAGTGTGGAGAGGCTTGGAATTTGATCTTAGGCAATGGGGAAAAGCAGGTAATAGATATGTAAAAGGCAATCTGAGTAAATAAACAGCTGTTTAGAATTGTGATGCCTTAAGTTCTAGCCCAGAAGCTCAGATGTAAACAAGGAGGTCTCTCCAGCAAAGCAAAGAATCAAGGCCCAAAACCCACCCAGGCAGCCCAGTCATTTTCAATGAAGTTGATTTTCCTAGGTGCCACTGGTGCAAGGAACCTGCAGTCCTCTCCCCACCTGGCTCCATTCCACCAGCGTTGCCAAGATCACTAAATTCACAGGCACATCTGAGACCCAAGGGAAGGAGTAGAGAGCCATACCCATTCACATATGTACCTATATATGGTTCATTTCCTCTACTTATTTATTCGCTGCTTCAAAATCAAAGAGGAGCACAGTGGCATGTACCTGTAGTCCCAGATACTTGGGAAGATGAGATCACTGAAGTCCAGCATTTCAAGACCCACATGGACAATAAAAGAGATCAGGGCCTCATCTTTTTAAAAAAAAAAAAAAAAACAGGAAAAAGAAAAGAATAGGCATTATATCTCAGTGGTCAAGTACATTCTTAACATGTACAAGGCCCAGGGTTCCATCCCCAGCATGCCCCACCAAAAGAATAAAAAGGACTAAAGCAAAGGAAAAATCCCTTAAATGAAGCCCAAGATGTTCCTGTCCAGATCTGACTCCTGCCTACCCTGAAGGCAGTGGTGGGCAGTCAGACTGGGAGAAGCCCATGTCATGGACTATTGAGTGTCCAAGGTTCGCACTTTATCAGGAATTATTTCTCCCACCGCTTTCAAACTGTGTTTGTTCCTGACAGTCAGCACTTGCAACAGCTGTGTGAGTCAAATATTTAGTCCGTGCACAAATTTTCATTTTACTCATTAACACTGGAAAGTGTGGATGAGAACTGCCACCCCAAGCTTCTGGCTTGGGAGAGGCAGCAGGGCCAGCAGACTGGAGCCTGGGAACTGTGTCTGAACCTTACTACTAGCCAGAATCAGAGAATGGCCTTATGAAGACAGACCAGTGTGACACTGCAATTACACTGTGCTGAGGCTGTATAATGGCTACTTGATATTGCTTCTCTTGCAGGATGGGAAAGAACCATTATATGGAAGTAAAAGGGCTTAGATCCAAGGCCCCATCAGGGCCACCATTACTATCAATTACTAAGAACTTTCTGGAGCCAGGCTGATCTAGGTTCTTTGCTTCTGCTGTTCTCCCCAGTCTTTTATGTGGGGATTATACCTTATGACAGTAATCTCCCTTATTCTTGGGGAAAATGTTCCAAGATGTTGCACAGATGCCTAAAATTATGGATAATGCCAAATCATCTATGTCTACCTATCCATCCCTACCTATGATTTAGATCTGTTTGGAAGATGACTGGTTCATGAGGTGCTATACTCATCAGTGGTTTCATCCATTGATGAGTTCAGTAGCTGAATGTGCTGTTAGAAGGTGGGGCCTGGTGGAGGGGGATTGCTGGGAGTGTGACCTGGAAGGGTGTATTCTTGTCCCCAGATCTTCCTTTCTCTGTTCCTGGCTGCCATGGGCTGAGCACCTGTTCCTCGACCATGCCCCTCTGCCATCCCGTTTCTACCTTGGAGTCTGCCAACCATGGATGGAAACTCCTGAAACTTTGCACCAAAATAAATGTCTCCTCTCCTACATTGCAAGCATCAGTTATTTTGTCCCAGGGACAAGAAGGCAAGACACCCCTATGTATATATATCTATGATAAAATTTAATTCATAAATTATTGTGGTAAAAGATTAACAAAGCTAATGATGAAATATAATATACATTATTTACAACTTATGAATTGTTTATTCCTGGTATTTCCCATGCAATATTTTTGCACCATGGTTGATCGTAGGCAAATAAAATCACAGAAGACAGACCGCATATAGGGGCGGGACTACTCCCTTGTGTGATTGGGTTTGCTGTGCCCACTACTTACATGGGGAAATAAAGGCTTGGGGCTTGTAAGTGCATCCAAGCCTGGGGCTTTCTGGACAGGAAGATCTTGCTTGTCCTCTCATCACCTCCAGCCACCACATAGTTCTGTATCTCTACTCTCTGTCAGGTGGTAAGAGTGACAATGGTCCTGGCCTAATGTTAGCTGCTGATAAGAAATCCTGTACTTGGCAGAACTGAAAGATCTTGACTGGCTTGCCAAAGCAATTAAACCTACTACGTTGGAGTAGGGCCCAGGTGAGTTTTGCTTTTTAAGCACCTCAGGAGATTGATTCTGGGGCTTGGCCAGATTGGTGAGGTATCCCCCCTCCTCACTAGAAGCAGCTATACCTGTTCCTTGGAAAGTGATGTCAGCCTGATGTCCTAAGAGTGAGTCAGCAGCAGCCTTGGGGCCTGTCCTATGGCTTCCACAGTAGCCCATGTACAGCCCAGCAGTTGGGACAGGGTAGCAGGAGGCTTCTTCATCCTCTCTGTGAGGGGCCCACAGCTCCTCAGGTATGTCTTACCTCCAATTTGGCTTTGTGACAGACTGGTAAATCCCACTCTCAGGTAATTAATCATTTCTCCAGGAGCCTCAGTTCCTCCATCTGGAAAATGAGTAGAATCTGCACCTCTCAGAGCCAACCAAACAGGTCAAGTGCTTAGCATAATGCTAACCAAACAACAGCTTGCTGGATTTCTGGAGGTCTTCTGTGTTAGTTACTTTTCTCTCTTTGCTGAGACAAAATACCCAGCACCAAAAATTAAAGTGGAAGGGGTTTGTTTGGCTTATAGTTCATAGAGGTTTCAGTCCATAATCAGCTGGCTGCAAGGCAGGGATGGCAAACAGGCATCACAGAGGAGGAACAACATGGTGCACACAAGGCAGGAAGGTAACAAGAGGGTTTAACAGCATCTTTTTGCTCCTTTTATCTTATTCAGACTACCGGGATTAGGGTGGTGCCAAACTAATCACTTGTAGTAGGTTAGTAATCATATGCCCTTAATCCTAGCATCACACATTCCAGATTTAGCTACCTTTGTAAAAGAAAGTCCCACCTCATCCACATGAGGCTTTGGGGGGACATCTGAACACAAACCATAATGTCTTCTAACACATGCTCACCTCGGTACCTCCCTCCAGCCACCTGGACAAGTCCTATCCTGGACCATACCTTGACAGTGCTCCAGTAGTGTGGAAATCAACCATACCAGTAAATGCAGGTCATCCAAGAGTATCCTCTCACCTCAGAGTAGTTCCAAGATCTAGAAGCCTAGAGGCCAGGAAGGAACATAGAAGAGTCACTGGATGGCAGGGCAGGAGCCTTTGGCTCAGCCACTGCCTAAGTTTAATAGATATGGGCAAGTTTTGTCACCTCTATAAGCCTCAGTTTCTTTGTCAGTAAAGTAAGGCTGAGGGCCTGGGATTTAGCTCAGTGGTTTAGCTGCCTGCTGTGCAAGCACAAGGACCCAAGTTCGATCCCCCCACCCCCCCAAAAAAGTGAGGCTTAGCAGAAGGTTAGTGTCCCATGAGAGCCAGAGAAAAGGAAAGAGAAGGCCCCAGGAGTGGCTGTCTTGACCAGAGCCAAGCTGGGAAGTTGTGAGGGGGTGGTATGAGTAGGCAGATGACTGAAGGTGCCTAGAATTAAATTATAACTATTTGGAGTTGAGGATAAGCCAAGGCAACTTACTTATGCAGAGCTGTGCCTTTGGGGTCTGGGTCAGTGCCAGATGGTACTGTTTTTGGCAGCACTGTAGTAGAGAGAGTAGGAATGTTTCTTCCCTTATTTATTTCTGTGATCCCTTTTTATAGGACATGGAGTAGCTGTTAGGAAACTG